GCTACCTGTCCTTGTTTCCATCCTCTGTATGCTACAATGTCCCCTGCCCCTGCCCTCCCTTTGATCCTGACCCACAAACTCTGTTGGTTCCTCATCTAACCCCAGGTGGAGCTCCATGCACTCCAGCTGGTCTTTGACACACAGGGCAACACCCCCTCCTCATCTCCCCTGCCTGTCCTTCCTAAAGAGCCTGTATCCCTGTGTTCCAACACTCCAGTCATAGGATCCATCCCACCACGTCTCCATAATGCCAATAAGATCATAACCCTGCAGGCGTGCACACATCTCCAGCTCCTCTTGTTTATTCCCCATACTACGTGCATTCATATAGAAGCACTTAAGTTGGGCTCCCAAGGAGGCTGGACCTCTTGTGTGCTGCTCTCCAGCCACCCTCATGCCAACCTATGAACCTTTTCCAGGCTCTGGGCATTTGTTGCTGGCTTTTCTGTCGTTAAATACCTCTTGCTTGTTGCTCACACTGCGTGCATTAGTGTTAAGTGCACTTGAGCTGAACTGTCGAATCCACTCCTACCCTCAGTGTGCCACCCCTGGGCTTGTCTGTAATGGGCCTGGTAATTCCCCCTTCCCCCTTCAAACCCAGTTTAAAGCCCTCTCATTATTTCCTCACTATGAAATAGCTTAAGAAAAATTTTAGAAAGAATTTTGGTAGAAAGTTTACATATTCCAGAAATTTATTACATCTATGACTGTCTCAATTAACCTTCTCTACCCATGTCTTTTAAGTTTCTATGATAATAACATTTCAAAAGCCCAAGAGAAACATATGAATTGAACAATTAGTAAATGTTGTACCTCAAATGGATCTGTTTAGTTTATATTCTTTAAGTAAATATCCATATATATCTTGTCTCACAGTGCCATCTGCTAATAGCTTAGTAACTCTGCTTTCTATGAGAATGTTTATTGAAAATATTTGTTTAATATTATTTCTGCAAGGCTAAAAATTATTAACCTGTCTAAAAATATGGTTGTGTATCCACACAATTTAAAGCTTAGACAAACAAGACGCTCAAGGAGTCTTCCTTTGGTGCTCAAGCTTCTACTCCATCTTAGCTTACCGACACAGCACTGGGTAAACCTCATTACTGTATGGCACAGTATTCAAATAAATTAAAAAGTTAGATTTAAACAAAAAATATCACCTATAAATATCACCTATAAATAACGGCAATATAATACAGCAATTGAAAAACAGCTCCTTGAAAATTAATTGGAAAAATAGGAATTGCTAACCACACCTTAAATATAGAGTTTTATATACAGGGAACCTTAAAATGGAAAAAGTTGCAGTTTACTTCCCTAATGCTACATATTATTTTAGTTTTGCTTACCTGTAGAAGGTTTTTACTTTGTTGTATGGCAAACATCTAATACATTGCTTGTAGATCATATTCTCATCTGGCTGTAGTTCCAAACCACATTTAGCACAACCTGAATATGTAACCATAGGAAAAGAAGCCAAAACACTCTCCAGTGAAGTGTCAGCACGGAAGATGAGCTGCTTGTACTGACCAGTTGAAATGGTAAACTTCAGTTCTAAGATACGGGCTTTCACTTGAACCACTCCTACAAAAACAACAACTTCTATCAAATCTGCATTCAGTTTTATTTATAACTGAAAGCAAAATGAAGGGTTACAGCTGATTCAAAACCAAAATAATTATCAGTAAAACCTATTTTTCCTTTAGTAGCACATTCATTTTTTTAGATGACTTATACAGTGACAAATCATTGTGTTTAAATATTATTTTAAAATGTTTAAGAGCAATACATTTTTAGGTACTACTGTGGTAAATGTCAATATAGAAGAGCCTGAATAAAAGATCAAGAGATTAGAACTGCACAAACAATTTCCAACTGCTTTTCTTCCATGCTAATTCAGAGACACTGAAAAGCATAGCTTTAACAACTTAGTTTTCCACTATTTATATGTAAACTAGAGTTAAATGCTGCAATACCAACTTTATTTAGTTACTTCTTAATGTTTAACAAGAACCTCGGCAATCTTCTAGGTTTATCTGGGAGGGGTGACTGTGTAAAATGTATTCTTTCTTCTTCAAATGCAGTAGCTATTTTACTCTTGCTTTAGACAAATTCAGTTCTGGAGAAATACTATTTGACAAACTTTCAGTAACTAATTACATCATTACTAGACTGGTTGATGTGGACAACAAAAGGCAGCATTTCTCCTTATGTTCCAAAGCTATCTTTGTATGGTACCACATACCACACCTATCTTGCCTCTGGGTTCACTGAATGAAGGCTGCATTCAGCTGGGTTGGGTACTGAGCAGCAGCCTCCAGAATAAATTCACACTCCCAGAAGTGTGCTGACTTAAAAAAAAAAAACATTTTAATTGATCAGAGCATCTGTTTTGCTTAGTTATGCATTGCACAATAGACATTACAGAGACATGGATAACAACTTTACCTGAGCATTTCTCTTCCAGATGTGCTGAGAGCTTTGTCATCTGCAGTAGGGATGTTTTGCTTTTCTGAAACTTCTCTTTAAATTCGATCGCCCTTTCGTCATCATCAAACAAGCACTCATAGGATGACCATGGAGTTGTGTGCAGTTCAAATTCACCTGAGACAGAACTATGTTGGACCAGAAGGTATTTAAAGTCCCATATGTGATCTACAGAACACAAAAGCAAGCAGAAGAGTTTAATTTCTATACCTTGGTTAATTTACAGAGAGACAAGGTTATTTACAAGACTGAGAAACAAATTAACAAGACATTCTCATATGGTCAGCTCTGGCAACTTTATTTCAAGGCTGATGACATGTAGGGTTTTTCCCTTCCTTTTCCTATAAACTTTGCAGGAGTTGTCCCACAACAGAATGATGCTTTCACTTCACTTGTTCTGAATTCAGCTTTCAAGACAGCTTTTGGAAAAAACAACAGTTCTGAAATTTGTCAGCTCTAATAAGGAAGAGTTGGCAATGTCTAGAAAAACATCTTCATGTCATTAATCAACTTCCATCTTTAATATGTCCCTGTTTTTTTAATTTTCTATTTCCATAATGCCCTAATTTAAAAATATTAATTTGTTTTCTCTCTTCCAGTTGACTCTGTAATACCGAAAAATACTTTAAAAATTGAGATTAGGGAAGAATAATATATTTTGGGTTGTCCTTCATTTCATTATAAGAATCCAGTATTCACCTACTAATCAAGTCTGATAACCATTTTAGGCTATTATTTTTTCCCATGTTTGCTCAAGATGAAAGTTGCAGCCAAGTTAATTTTGGAAATAACGTAAAAAAAATACACATTGCTTTTTAATGTATTCAAGTGTTCAGATAAGCATTTCATTAGCATGTTTTAGTATTTTCATATTTTGTACTAGTCTGATTTTTGGTGGTAGCTTCCTAAAATTGCAAGCCTCTGAATAATCTGCTGTCAGACACAGTGTTTTAAAGAAGAATACTCCAAAAAACTGTCCCCTGAACACGGGTGTAGTTTCATGCATCTCATATCTGAACAGGTATCTTGCAGTCCCCAGAACTGAGTATGCTCCAGTCCAAAGCAAGATTCAGGGAGAAACAGTAGAGCAACACTGAGGGAAAAATCTAAATGGGAAGAAGCAAATTTTGATTTTTAGCAAAAGAAAAAATTAATTTAACCTTTACTGGCAACAATTTTTAGAACTGTGTTGTCTTATGCACTTTATTTTAACACAGACTGTTTAAAAATTACAAGTCTCCATATCTTCCTGTACAAGACTGAGGTTACTAATCTGCTAGTACAACCAGTAAACACATCACAGCTGATATATGACTCCTTACAAGGACAGACATTGTGCTCTTCCTGTAACCCACTCACACTATCTAGCTTCTGTGTTGCATATGCTTTAGTATCATGTGATTTTATCTTTTTGGCTTTCTTACTGGGATCAAATGTTCATGGTTTATCTGTGATTAAGTATTTGAACAGTTGAGAAATAACTCTTACCTTGAATTTCAGATAATCCTTTAATCATTAAAATGCCAACTTCTAGATGCACATCTTAAGCTTTTCTGCTTTAAGTATCAGAGAATGAGAGGTCATTGTGCCTTAGAAACTACCTTTGGTATCTTCTCTTTGAAGCTGCAAAAATTTTTAAAATTCTGTATTTTGAAACTTAGCATACTAAATTCTACAAGATTTCTAAGCATCTACTGAACAGTATATACCTGCTCAAACTGAAGTATGCACAAAAATAAGAGCCATATAGGTATTATGTGGTAACGTTTATTTGCTAAGGCTTAAATTGGATCATCTTCTTCAAGTAGTTTCAAAGGTAGACCTTGCAATTAAGTGACTTCCAGGAGTGGAAATCACTTATAAATTGAAGTGGAACTGGCAGAATTCAGAGTGCCTACATTTAACAGGTAAAGATTTACTATGAGGTTAACCCTTCTGGGTTTTGTTTTGCGCTATATGAAAACTAGCTTTTTAGGCAGAGACATTCAGCACCTCAAGTAATATGGTATTTACTTCTTAGGTGCATCCATTGATCAGAAATATAAACTCTTAAGTTACTAATTTAACAAAAATCTACTTTCACTTATTTTAAAAGAACAAAGCCAGAAATAAAACAAAATTTGTTAGTACTCACTGCTAAAACACAGACTATGTAATTCTTGCAAGAGATGCTTCTAGTCAGTTACAGCTAGACTTGATAGGAAGACCACTAGGATATAAAACCTGACACTAGAGTAAGGTGGAAAGCACAGAATAAAAACCAGAAGCTGAAAAAAACCCCCCAGCAATTCATGCTAAACAATAAGGTTCAGCAAAACTGATAATACAGTTCACTTAAGTTCTTTTTTTATAGCTACAGAACTAAGCACCAGTGCACCATGTGTCTAGATTTAAGTTCCTAAATACTCCAAATTAAGTTCCTAAACTTCTCTGTCTTCTAAAACAAGTGCATTCAAATTCTGTTGCTGACAGCACTGCATGAAGACATGTTAAAATTGGTATCAAATATGTTGCCCTTCCAAGCAGAGTATTTAAAGGTTGAATGGAAAAATGTTGCTAGCTGACCATTTTAAAGATATTAACAGCATCACATAAATCCTTTTACAGCTACCTCCAGGTACAAGGACTTTACCTTTTTTCCTTTGAAGCTGAGGGCACCAGGCAGCCCCTGCTCCCCACAGCACCATCCTGTAGTGTTGATCTCTTTTCTGTTCTACTGTTAGAATAATTTTTCTTTGGTTGCCACCTCTGTAGCTATATACAGATTCTGAAAAAGTTTGAAATTATGACTTCTACAGTAAAAAGCATATAAACACACAAACACCATATGCCTCAATATTGAGATGAAATCACACTATCATATCTTATGGTACAATTATAAGCAAACAAAAATATACCTACAATTTCTTCAGGACAAAATAAAAGCAATCCAATTTATGTAGCAACATGAATCTAGTTTGAAGGAGTGCATTAAGTATATTAATTTACCTTTATCCACCTGAATACTCAACAACTGGACACCTCTGTTTGAAACAGCAGGTATCTGAGCATCTTTCAGCTGCCACTCATCGTGACTGGTATAAGTGGAAAGAAATTGTGCTCAATCTCTCAGCAACAGACTGTCATAACTGGCAGTTAAAGTTCCTGTAACTTCTGCAGAATACACAAAGAAACATTTCTCTAGAAGTTTTCATATAAAAGAAAACTACTGTCGTGTACAAGCACACTAAGAGGATTAGTAACAGTACGTATAAATTGAAACAATTAAGATCTCTACAGCACTCTTACCCAGGATACTGCCTGCAAATTTCACTTCCACACTAAACTACAATATTTTTCATAAACAAATGATTTTTAAACAATAACGTTTTAATTATCTAACAATTCTGAGATTTATGCATAATAATTATGAAGATTTCTATCTTCAAAATGCTCCATTTCTACGGAATAAACATGATAAAGACTGTGTGGGTAAAAATTTGAGTCTTATTAATACAAGCCCTCATGCAAGATGATAGTGCAATTTGATCAAATGTAAGTGTAAAGCTTGAAGTCAAGCACTGAGAAATAGTAGTACCATGAAGACAAGATAATCAGAACTGTTCTGCAGAGGAAAGAGGAAGACTCCTTTTCCAGGTGGGAACAGTGGTCTTTAACTGCCCAGAGCATGTTAACAAAACATGTCAAGACACTGCATGAAATACTGAGAATGCCACAAGGTGATTTGGTTTTGTTAATTTCAGAAGGTGGAAGAGATGCTAGGAACTAGCTGTAAGGCCTGATCACAAAGAACAGAAACAAATTATTTTTAACATGGAAAACTGCTTCAGCAAAAGGAATCCTGAAATAACTGCATTCACTATTAGAAGAAATGGTAAGTTGTGACAGAAGAATAAACTCAAATCAGTAGATGGACTGTTGACCATAGTTCTTTGGGGGAGAGGAGTCTTTACAATAAAAATATACAGGAAACTCAGATTTCCAAACCAAATTATATTAGAGGCAGTTTTGTTGTGCCTATGCAGAGGAAATAGGAGCATCACAGTAAGACACCTTAGTATTTTCACACTGTGCATTTTCCTGTGTCAAAAGAAACATTGCATGCATTTAAGAAACCAGGAATACTTAGCATTGAAAATCTATTCTAAGTAGGAAAAAATAGAAAGAAATAAACAAGAACTGTTGGAAATAAAACATTAGAAAAGAGCAACAGTTCCATTATAAAAGAAGAAAGACAAGCAAATACTAAAACAGTAGATTACAATAACCAATAATGTATTTCATTCTGAAAAACACATGATTTAGAGTGCAAATCTTCCTTTAAAAACCAGGATGCTTACATGGAAGGTAGTTAGCAGGTGAGCTCTGACTTAATCAAGCTTGACTGTCCCACATGACACTTTCATAAATGAGTCCCCTTTCCAAAGTAGCGGTCTACAGCAACAATGTCCCTCTCTAATTTCAAGAGCCATTAAAAACATATTTATGTTCCTCCACCATAACTGCAGTATCTCCCTCTTTTTGGCACTCCTGCTATGCACACCTATCTTCCCTGAAAACAGGTTTCATAGAATCATTAAGGTTGGGAAAGACCTCAAGGCTCATCAAGTCCAACCCAACACCACCTAACTCACTAAACCATGTCCCTAAGCACCACATCTACACGTTTCTTGAACACCTCCAGGGATGGTGACTCCACCACTTCCCTGGGCAGCCTGTT